CAGTGAATACTTATAAATACAAGCCAACCTGTGTCTCTATCTGTTGCCTTGAAGTACTTGGCATTAATTGATCAAGGCCATGTCTATTTAAGAAACTTGTGTCAACTCAAGAACCATCATCATACAGCTACTACAATTAGTGCATCACTTGTGTCTGTTTATACTTGGCTCCCTATGTCAATGATGTGCATGTTGAGTGGGAGTGGCTATGTCCATGCACGGCTATATCCGTTCACCATGAGTGAGTATCCCATTGTGTAGTGCATTACTATCCAGTGCAGTCTTTTGACACGTTTTGGTAATGCATGAGGGGGCTGAAACATATTGCAGAAATGTGACTGTGAGCATAGAGTCAACTTCCCAGTTTGCAACTGTCTCCATTCTGTAATGTCATGTTTCCCACAATTTTCATGCCTTTTTTTCAAAATCCCACAAATCCACATGGCTCTCCTCACTGTCCACTATTTCCAACAGAAGCATGAAGCCTGCACAGCTCTGCACGATTGTCACTAACATTAACATGATTGGGTGCATAACCCTACAATATTTGTAGAGCAGCAAGAAGAGTCATGGGGAATATGATAATTCCTTGAAGAATGGATTGCTGAGACACATAGTGACAACTGATTAAAGATTGGTGGTGATGTTCATGGAGCAGCTGCAAATGGTGGAGTTCCTCTTCTGGGCCTAAGAGACTAGCATTAATTGGTGGGATTGCATCGTAATGCAAGTTTGGAATGATGAGCACTGGCTGCAGAACTCTAAAATGGGCCAGGCCACATTCCTGGATCTGTATGCCAAGCGCCCCCCAATTCTCCAGCAGAGGTACACCAAGTGAGAGCCACAGTGACAGTGAAGAAAATTATAGTAATTTCACTGTGGAAATAAGCAACACCAAATTGCTGCTGGTCAGTTGGGAATCATTTTGGAGTTGGAAAATTACTGTGAGGACCATTGTCATGCAAGAGTGTTGGGACATTAATCACCTCCTAATATGCAGGACTGTGACTCTCTTCAATATGCAGGATGTAGCGGATGGATTTGCCTCAACAAAGTTCCTAAGCTGCAGGGGAACAATAGAGGGCACACATCCTGCTCTTGGCACCAAACCACCTTGTCTCAGAGTACATTAACAGAATGAACTGATTTTCTATGATTATGCAAATGTACATCCTCTACGCCACTGGAGGAGTTCCCCAACTTCCCTATCTTCAGGAACCCCCTTATCCTTCCTATGATCCAAGGGTACCAAGCTCCATCCCTCGGGCACTTGGTGGTGGGCGACACCAGCTTCGCTGATGTCAGTGTGGGCTAATCAGGAAACGTGCATGACACTCAAAGTCTTTTAGAACATAGCATGGTTCAGAAAGCTGTAAGCAGAGAATTTCTGCTGAAATGCCAGCAGTGATCCTGGGTGACCCAGTGTACTCCTTGCTCCCTTGGCGATACATGAAGCCATACATCTGCCACCTCAACAGGACCCAGGTATGCTTCATCTACTGGCTCAGCACATACAGAATGACAGCTGAATGTGCATTTTCTCATTTGAAAGGATGCTGGCATAGTTAATCACAAGATTGTACCTTAGTGAGTAATATCCCAATGGTTAGAGCTGTCTGTTATGTTCTACATAATGTCTGTCATGCAAAGGGAAAAATATTATTACTGAAGTGGAGGAGAGGTGGAGCAGCTACCTGCTCAATTTGAACAGCCAGATACAAGAGTTGTTAGCAGAGCTCAATATAGAGTTCTGCAGCTCAGGGAACCTTTGAAAGACCATTTTAATAGTGAACTAGAGTACAGTATGTTTCGGTAGCGTCGTCTACTTGGCCCTGCTTGTTTCCATAACATAAGAATTAGGGGGTCACCAAATGAAATTAATAAGTAGCAGATTTAAAACAAACAAAAGGAAGTTTTTCTTCACACAGTGCATAGTCAACCTGTGGAACTTCTTGCCAGAGGTTGTTGTGAAGACCAGGACTTTAACAGGGTTCAAAAAGAATTCATGGAGGTTAGGTTCATCGATACTTATTAGCCAGAATGGGTAGGAATGGTGTCCCTAGCCTCTGTTTGTCAGGGTCTGGAAATTGATGACAGGAGAGGGAATCACGTAATGATTACCTGTTTCTCTTCATTCCCTCTGCGGCATCTGACATTTGCCACTGTTGGAAGACAGGATAGTGGGCTAGATGGACCTTTGGTCTGACCCAGTATTGTCATTCTTATGTCCTGCTTTTGTGACCTGGTATGAATTACTTGGTGATTACTGTAAATATAGGACTACAGAGTAAAGTCCTCTGCAAATAAGCTGCTTGTGATAAGTCATCTCTTCAGAGATAAGACAGGTTTTTCTATATTAGTATCTTGGGAGGCTTTCAGAAAGTATGGTGATGAGCTCTCTTATAAAAACCTAAATGAATGGATAAAAGACATAGAAACACCAGGTAAGACTATATACTCTAATGTGGCAACCGAATCAATAGGTTGTGGCGACATTATTTTTGTTCCTTGTCTCAGTCACAACATATGTAGAAGATTTAGTGCAGGCAGGACCTAAATGGAACCTTGCACCTGAGCAAAAGCCTTGGACAAGCCGAGCTTTAACCTAATTTTTGGGTCTCATCCAGACTACAGATTTTAATTATATTCTGCTGGTTCTAACTGGCCTCCTAACTCAGTTATAGTTTAATTGTGATTGGCGGTAAACATAGTTTGTGTTCACACAGAATATAGGTAATAGAGATAATCATCATGGTAACCACTAATGTGCCATCCTTGCCTGGACTGGCATAGAATTATATTTGTATGACCTGGTTATGATGCTTTTTCTGCAACACAGACAGACTTAATTATAATCAGACTAGTTGTTTCTTCCTCTCAGTACTCTGTAATGGTCATCACATTGTGTGCACTGTCAAGTGTTTTGTTGGTGCCACCTTGTATGCTAGTCATACAATCCTTTGCTAAGGCACTATGACAAAATTGCCTGCATTTTCCCAGAATGCACTAATGCAAGTATGCTTAGGCAGAGTAGCTGGTGGAGATAGCACAATGGTTGATATAGGCTCTGGTTGTATTGTGTTTAACCCCCTTTTCCCTCCATGCCCCCAACAGAATTATTCCCATCTGATATACAGGCAGTCCCCGGGTTACATGGATCCGACTTACATCGGATCCCTACTTACAAACGGGGTGAGGCAACTCCGCACTAGCTGCTTCCCCCCAGCAGACCAGGGAGACGCGGAGCGGCTTTTCTCAGCAGACACCTCGGCTTGAGAATAAAGGACTGAGGGAAGTGAGGTGTGGGAGAATAAAACTGAGCTCTGGAGAAATGTTTGGCTAGAGTTTCCCCTACAATATGTACCAGTTCCGATTTACATACAAATTCAACTTAAGAACAAACATCGTAATGAAGAACAAAAAGTGGCCCCTAGTCCTTGGTACATGCAAAGGTTTCCTTACTAATTTAAGATATTAATTTCACACACTCTTAAATTATTTTAAACGAATACACATAAGGAATTGGCACCATTTTAACTACATCAGTTTTTAAACTATTTTTGTTAAATTGGTGCAATTTTTGTGTATTGATAAGACCATTGACACAGTTTGTATACAAAGTCCTAACTGGCCTTTGTGGAAAATCCATTGTTATCATGCAGAACATGTACAAATCCTAGAAAGTAAAACATTGACATAACATCTGGAGTAATAATTATAGATTTAGTGACAAGAAGATAAGAAAGTGACATGATCAGCTAAAAAAAATAGACGTGGAAAATAATAGAAACATGAGATGCTAAGACCAATAGAACTCCTTTTCCCTCCTTTTTATATGTTCCTCTTTATTATGACTCTCTTCAATGTAAACAGTGCCAACAAGAGAAACTTAAAGTGATGCATACAGATGCATTAATATCTCTGGTGTATTTTAAAAAGTGCACATGTGTACACATTCCCTCCCCCATAACTGGTCTGTGCAAACTTATTGTTCCCATTGTTACCTTTGTGTGCTTCAGCCACTTATTTTCCTTTTGTTTAAATCTAGATGTAAACACTTCAGCCAGCAAGTGTGTCCTTGTGGTTGTGCATCCCAGTACATCGATGTCTGTGGATGCTGCAGCAATGCACATTGCTAATAATACTGTGCAGTCCTTGGCATTTTTTCACCCTCCTACCACTTTTCTTTGAAACCACCAAAATAGCAATGTATGAAAGTGGGAACACATTTTCCAGATCAGTTATATAATTGAAATCGGTGGCAAGCATTAAACTACCTGTTCTGTGTAAACAAGTAAAGCAGGATGGAATTTTTAATGTAACCCCCGTCCATACATTAGCACATGCATGTACAGGATTATTGCCTACCATCTGCTTTATCCACAGTAGTTTCTATCAGTTGTGTTATTTTGGGTTGGTTTTTTTTGTATTTATGCACTACTTTGAAGCTGTTGTATTGTTAACTTTGGCTGAGACTGAGCGTAAATGACGATAGCAGTCTCAGCATGTTAAGATCATAACGGTTAGATTAATGATAGAGGTATTATTTCTATGCTGGCGTATTGCATTAATGGATGTGTAAGTTCAATCAAATACATTGCCTCCAGTGTCTCTGTATAATGGTATTTACTTGGTCTCAAACGGACTGCTGAGAAAAGTGAAACATAATCTTCTATTTTATCTGCGACTTAAAAAAATAGATAATGAAATCATTCTCTTCCTAGCATGTATTTTATTATGACTTGTGGAATCACTTAAAAAAAACCAGAGGCAATTGTACGTCTCAGTTCTTTGCTAAAATGGAATTTATATTCACTAGGGACATTGTGATCTTTAGAAACAATTAAGCGTTTCTGGTGCAGGTGTTGTACACTCCATACAGCTAAAATTAAACTGAAAATTCAGTGAAAAATTAACATTCTGATATAACTGGAGAGTAAGAAAATAATAAGAAATTTACTGAACATACTAATTCCCTCCTTTTTATTTTTTCTTCTTAGAACCTGGAGAAAGTTTTTGTGGAATTCAGTCATCAGGAGCTGTTTGATTTCTATAACAAGGTCCAGTTTTTAGTTACCGTTTTCTAATATTTTAATAATTTTAAAGTATTTTAATAACTTTCATTTCACACTGATAATTCTCATGCTAAATATTCCCACATCACTGATTCACTTTATTAAAGAAATGCTTGAACTTAACTTCCTTTGCAAACAGCTTATGATTCTGAGGAGGAATCATTGCCTGTATGAATGCAATCTGATGAAACCAGAACAAAATGGAAACAATTTTACTGAACAACTAAATTTGTTAGTTTATAATTTAAAGCATTTTCAAAAACCATGACTGAATTAAATGTTAAAATAAATGTGAATACAATGGTTTAGTCATTCTTAACCGTATCTTGGTTAAATCTAGCTGTTAAATCTAGAAGATGCACTGAGGACTAACAGTGAGGAGCAGCCTGGAAGGAGCATCTTTGAACGTGTGGTGTCTTTAGGCCAAAATGCTAGGCTTGTAATCCAGTCAAAATAAATTCTATTGTTTTTTTACTTTGTTATTATGCATTGGAAATTCACAGCGAAACAGCTGTGTGTGTAAAAAAGGAAGTATTTAGACAACAGTTTCTTTAAAATTTGAATATTTAAACTGCTGAAATGAATTCTAATAGCTTCATGTAAAAACAAAATTCATGAGTAGAAATTTTTATTGCTATATGAATAGATTTAATATCCATAGTTGAAGCTGCAGTTATTTCTTGTCTGTTTCCATGTTTCTACCCAACATTTTATATAAATTCTTTTTTTTGTTGTTCCTTTAAATAGCTGGAGACTATACAAGCACAGCTGGATTCCCTTACATGATGTTTTTGAAGACTTGTTTCTCCATCCTACTCCTGCCACCTCATTATTTTGAATTGAAGATAGATTGCCAAGCTGTGTGTGCAGATGAATTCAATGGGTTGCTTCCTGTAAAATTATATGTCTTATCTCCTCTTAGACCAGTAACATTAGCTAAGGGAAATCATTGTTAAGAGTTCTGAGCTTCTAATTGACTTTCTTTTATTTTCTGAACCAACAGCATTTGTTAAAAATAGTTTTACTTGAGGGGGGAAAAAGAGACTACCGTTGTGTTGATTTATAGTTCTTTTCTGCTTTATTACCTGTGTTGTTTGAGCCATTACATGTCTGATTGCAATTCACTCGCTAGTGAGGGATTGGAATAAAATCTGTATCAAAGTTGTTAAAAGAGTACAAAACTTAAGGAGCAACATTAGAAGTAGTAGTTAGTAAATAGAATTTTCTCCAGCCATTTGAATTCATTCCTTATTTCAGATTAGCCAATTTACATAAATAAAAAATGAAGAAAGTGGATTCTCTTTGTTTGGGTCATTTAATTTGATTTAATAGCATTAATGTTTATTTTTGTTCTTGATTATCACAATGTCACTGCTTTGAATATTTGCTCTTGACCTTGGGATTAACTAGGGCCTTTAGACACTGCAGTAGTACAGATAAGGAATAATAAATTTCAGATTAGCCAATTTACATAAATAAAAAATGAAGAAAGTGGATTCTCTTTGTTTGGGTCATTTAATTTGATTTAATAGCATTAATGTTTATTTTTGTTCTTGATTATCACAATGTCACTGCTTTGAATATTTGCTCTTGACCTTGGGATTAACTAGGGCCTTTAGACACTGCAGTAGTACAGATAAGGAATAATAATAATTGAGTATAAAAAGGGAGATTGAAGTACCGACAGTAGATTATCAACAACACTGAAGTAGTCATGTGACCAAATTCCTGAAAGCCATTCTTTGATCCTTCCTAATATTACCTGTTTTTATCAATATAAGTGAAGATTTTCGTAGAATGAAACGCCTCAGAATCCAACTTGTTAATAAGTTCACATTTTTACAGTATGAATTCAAGTCCAGGAGCACTTGATTCTGTTAGAGGGCTAGAAGACCTCTTTTTGCCTGTCACTGACAGAAAACATACAAGCACTGTCAATACATTATCTTAATAATAGGAAAGATAAGAGAATCTTCCACTCTGGAAAGTGAAAAGAGATATAAATTCAAGATGTTAACATGCCTTTTTTAGCTAAGCAGTTCTGGGAACCAAGGCTTTGCACTTTCACTTCCAAATCCTACAGTGGACCTGGTTAACACTCAGGGTGTGTCTAGACTACAGGATTTTTTCGAAAAAAGTTGCCTTTTTTTAAAAAAAAAAACTTCACCTGCATCTAGACTGCAGCCGTATTCATTCAAAAATAATTCAAAAGAATGTGGCAGTTTTTTTGATTGTGGTAAACCTCATTTTACGAGAAATAACGCCTTTTTTCGAAAGTACTCTTTAAAAGGCGCTATTGAATGCAAACTGTGCTTTTTCAAAAGAGAGCATCTAGACTCTCTTTCAAAAAAGCGAACCGCTTTTTCAAAAAATCTGCTTGTAGTCTAGATGCTCTTTTTCGAAAGTATCTTTTGAAAAAGCCTCTTTCGAAAGAGGCTTGTAGTCTAGATGTACCCTCAGAATAGCATTTGATAGTTCTCTTGATATCACAGTTTGTGAATGGCATGAGTTTTAAGTATCACCAAAAACAGTCTTTGAGTAGCTGCGATGTGGTTCCCCGGTGTCTAATTTGTGGCATATATCGTAGAGCAGATCACCAACTCACTTTGTTTTTAGGAGGGATATTGTCAGCTGTTTCAAAATTTCAAAAAAGAGGAGTGAACTCTTCAGTGACTGTAAAATTAGAGGAAAGGTTTTGAGAACAGCAGCCTAAGTAGAAGAAAGAATGAGTAAAGGGCACCTGAGAGATCACAACCAATAGGCCCAGTGTCTTTGGGCAAACATATCTATTGAAGGAATATTTTAATTGCCGATAACTAAAGCTACGTTTTACTCATGAGTATTTTAGTAAAAGTTTTACATAGGTCATGGATCATGACTTGTACATGGCTTGTACTATACACCCCTAACTAAAACTTGGGCCAGAGTGCGGAGGGCGGGGGGAAGGGTGGCAGTTTAGTGTGCTGCTGGTGATAAGGAGGTGGCCCAGGGCCCCTGTGGTGCTGGGGGGGGGGGCACTGAGTAGCGGCACATGCCCTGGGTAGGGATGTAAGCAACTAGTGATGTGACTAGTTGCTTCCCCCCTTGCTGCCTCTATCAGAGAGAGACAGCAGGGGGTAGGGGGAGGAAGCAGGAGCCGGTGTTGGGGGGAGCCAGCTTAAAAGCTGGTTCTCCCCAGCACAGTCTCCACAGGGGGTAAGGGAGGTAGAGGCACAATGGGAAATGGTATGAGCGGGGATTGGAGCAGTCTCTGCTCATACTTCTGCTGTGATTCTGCTTTTGGAATCCCCCGCATTCTTCTGCTTTTGAAATCACCCGTCGGTGCTCTTGTATATTTCAAAGGCTCAGGTGCCACAGGAAGTGTGGGGCCTTACCGCTAGCCCTGCATTCCCTGCAGGGCTGCCTTTTGAAATGTACAAGAGCCCTGGTAGGGCTCTTTCTACAGTTCAAAGGCAGAGGCGCCCTTATAGATTATTTGATTAGTTAATTCATCTAAATTTAACATCCCGATGCCCGGGATTCCTCTTAGTGCTGGGGGTGGAGGGCTAGCAGGCTCACCTATCCAGCTTTGTACAACTCTGCAGAAGCAGCCAACATATTTCTACAGCTCTTAGGGGGAAGGAAGGTCAAGGGGGGGTCCTCCGCATGTTGGCCCTCGCATGAGTTCTATCTTTGTGCAGCTTCCATTGGCTGGGAATTGCCGCCAATGGGAGCTACAGGGCTTGTGGCAGGAGTAGCATACAGAGGAGCCCACCTTCTTCCTAGAGCTTCAGGGACATACCAGCTGCTTCTGGTGAGTCCCCCTAGGTAAGCACCACCTTATGCCCCAATTCCCTGCCCCAGCTCTGAGCCTCTTCCCACACCCAAACTGCTTCAGCTTCAGCTGGTGTGGCTGGCCCAGAGGCTGCCCGATCAGCCATACCAGCTATTGCAGAGGTCACAGAATGTCATGAGACTGATAACATACCACCATCCTTGCAGTATAGTGTGATACCATAAGTGCAATGACAATAAAAGAAAAAGATTGTATATTTGAAGCATATTGGGGCTGAAAAAAAAATTTGAACTTCACATTCATACAAAACACCAAAATTAAATGAGTAGATCGACCTATCTTACATAATATGCTTAGTTATATCTAGCTGTATCTTAAAACAAAATTGATGTCTCTGCTTCAGCTGAATGCATTCTTTGCTAGCACTTCTCTTTGCATCATAATGAGTTTTGACTCCAGGAGGCTGTAAGGAGTCTCTTGACTTGCCATTTTTCTACTTTTCTTTATTTCCCCTACTTTCCCTTCCCACCAATCTCCATTCAGTAATGCCAATAAGTTCTCAGTGTGCACCAGTCAAAATTTAACATTATCATCACTATTAAACATAAACTATTTTATGCTTGGTATCTCAGGACCGCAGCATTTCTAACTGAGGGACATTTTTACCTGAAAAAGTAGCCTTCTCACTAGTCATGAGCAGCTCTAAGCAGGTGGCATCTCAATGTTATATCTCAGGTGGCATCAGACCAACAAAAATAAACACCCACTCCAATATGAATTGTCATCTGATACAGTCAGTGCTTTCACATGCCTTCACAAGCAATTCTAATGTGGATGAGCAAAATTTGCAAATGTGGGCCTTCTTAGTCTGAAAATCACACAGCCTAACAGCTTCTCCCTGGGAGAGAGCAAAATAAAATAATGGTTATCAGGTGTATGGGGCTTTGGTATTTGGGATCGGATGCTCAGACAAATCGGTTCCCAGTGATCTCAGTGATATGGTGGAAAACTTTATGGAAAGCCAAGACTATTCAATCATCAGAAAAGTTGATTTACAATCTGGGCTTCTGCAAGATTGTATAGAAGGGAATACAGGATATAGGGCAAGCTGAAGCAGGCTATGAAATACATTAGGAGAAAATACATCTATACAAGTGCTAGCTAGAATAAGTGGATGGTCTCAGCTGCCCTTTGTTGTCTCGCAGCTTCCCAGTCAGCCTTATGTGGAGTTAAATCCTTGTGAGTGTCAGGCTCTTTGAATTTAGAAGAAAAAGGGCTACCTGTAGCCTTGATCAAATAAGATCACATTACATTTATCAGAGGAGGATAGTCTATGGAGCTGTGAAAGATAAGAACAGTTTTATCCTATTACTAATAGGTCAGAGCTTTGCAACGTAGTCCGCAACCTATTTCTAGCCTCCAAGGATTGGGGACAAACAGAGCAGGTGTCTGTCTGGAACATCTAAATAAGTTTCTGAAAGAAGTTTGTCTTCAAAGCATTCTCATTTCACCATCCTCAGACTGTTCTTATGTTTTGAAAGGAAAATAATCCCATCGATTTGCCCCTACTTTGATCATTATGATTGCTCTTACATGTACTCCTAGTATCATGGTAACAAAAATATGCTTTAGAGAAGAAGGAAATTCATCTAATCTCTTCCCAGACAATTTTTGTGTTCAGGTTTCTGTACACAGAGAAAGCTAAAACAAACAGAGTAATACAGTTTTAGGAGTACCTTGGGTTCATGATAAACACAGACTCACCATTCCAGCGAAGTCAGTTATAGGCTTGGACTAAGGATGAATACTATCAAATACAAGGCCCACCCCAGGTAATTATTTACAGAAAATGAAAATGAAAATCAAATGTGACAGAAACAAAAATCTCATTCTTATTGAACCTTTTGGAAATTCTAATCACCTACACAGGCACATTTCAGTGATTTAGAACTCATGATGCATGTCCAAGTATACCCTTTACATCTCAGCTCTTGGTAGAGATCTAATTTCCATTGTATATTATTCACTCCCTCAACTGCTGAATTCTGAAAATCAGGCTATGTCTACACTACTAGGTTATTTCGAAATAAGCTTACAAGCAGGAATTATTTCAAAATAACAGGGTTGGAAGTATGGACACCTGCCTTGTTATTTTGAAATAAGGGGAGTTATTTCGAAGTAACTCTCCAATGTAGATATGCCCTCAGATTTTATTTTGAAGGGATCTTCTCAGTTCAGTTCAGGGAATGAGTACTAGAAAGAGAAATGGCATCCACTAGCTGAGAACATAGTGATTCATTTATGTCTCAGAGCTCTGCTCCATCCATGGATAACAGTTGTTATGTCTGATAGGCTTCTCTTAATTACTGGGAAGAACATGATTGGATTTGGCCTTACCTCAGAGACATCTCCAGTTCTGGATGGAACAATTTCCTTTTTCTGTGCACTGCCCACTAATGAGGAAATTGAGACTA